TCCCATCCAAGTAAAACTAGCCATCAATAGAACCACAGCCCATAATTGCCAATTACACCTATCGCTATCTATTAAAAACAAAATCAAAATAATTTTGAGTATAATTTGCGAATTATTAGGCTATGAATATGCTTGTGTTTATAAACGTTATTATATTTTTTTGTCACGCACAATCCAGTTTATAATAAATATTAAGTTGCACACACCAGATGTGTTCAAACAATCAGACACAACACCGAGGCGAGCACAATACAATATAAATATACATGCAATAAAAAGGATCTACTTACCACTAATTTACAGGTATTGTACCATCGCTTGATTGCTCCAACGTAGTCACAGATGGTAGTTGCCCATATCTGCAGCGGCGTTATATAATGTCTCTATCTCTATCACTTCGTCTAGTGAAGCTGTATAAAAGCTATTTGGTTCATCATCGTATTTCAAAGCCGACTTAGCCGAGTCCATATACTCGTTGACTTCCAGATGTAGTACTGACCCTATTATCCGAGTCTATAACCGTCATTCCGCCGTCAAATAAACAATAAGATATAGCACTTGTTCTTCGATTTTTAAAAATCAGTTATCTGCGCCATAAACAAGTGAAATAGACAAAAATTCCACTGCAATATGTTGACGCGCCATATAATTTACTACAAATACGACCTTCATATCTTCGTTTCCGTTCATCTTATGACGTCACACGGCATCAATATGGCGGCGGAAAAGTTCGCACGCGATAACCAACTTCAGAGGTTAAATTTGGCAACTTCTAAGCATCGCATGATGGTCAAATATATATGAAAATGCTTCTAAAAGACTGAATTTTTATTTAAGCTAAAAAAAAGTAGGTCCAAAAATTCGCTGCAGTAGCACTTTAAAGTTTCAACTTTCACATCACATGAAATGATGAAAATGCTCGTCGGACTGACTCGGTATTTGTCGTATTTTACGAATCTGTCACGTGATTTACCACCGCCCGTACACGGTACACCATACACCGCGACACGAAATTTAGAGCTATATGAAAGTTGCATGCCCATATATGGGCATGCAACAAAAATCAAGGCGAGGAAATGGAGATTTTGTGAACCGAACGCAGGCGAAGATGGCTGTCGGCCATTTTAAATTGGAGTCGCCGAACGAATGAAACGCATATGCATGAGAATACAGAAGAAATGGTCAAAGAGAAGTTACAGAGAGTAAACGAACCACTGGCGTGGTTGTTAAATGTTTATTTGATCCTATGACTATGGACGATATCGAAGACATCGCAAAAAATTTGCCAGGAAACTTGAGAAATGCCAGCCATATAAACACAAACAGACGTTTCAACCACAACAGTTGGCATTCAGACAAGCGAGTGTCATAATTCTATGCTTCAATCCGAGTTATAATTTCTGGGTGAACCATGTTCTGCTGACTTTTATTAATAGACAAACTAATCTCCTTGCAAGGGCACAGACATTTTCAAGTTACAAGCATCATAACACTGTTAAAGTGTTAATTGGAATTACAACACAACTCACAAGGTACAATTTGCTTTGTCAGTGAAGCTTGGGGAGGGAGGAATTCAGATAAGTTTCTGACTGAGAACTGTGGCTTACTGGACAACCTTATACCAGGTGATTTGGTTCTGGCGGATAGGGGTTTCACTGTCCATGAAAGTGTTCGGTTTCACCAAGCCAAATTGAATATTCTGGCATTCACAAAAGGAAAAGACCAACTTGATTCTGTTGATGTGGAACAGACAAGAAAGATTGCTACTGGCCGGATACATGTCGAAAGAATTATTGGTTTACTGAGACCGAAATATACCATTCTTCAACAAACTTTGCCAACTGAATGAACTGATTACCTTATTTGCAGAAAAGGAGAATCTGTTCCTCTCATTGACAGAATGATTAAAGTTTGCTCTGCACTAGTAAACCTTTGCCTTCATACTATATACCTTTTGATTGAAGTAAAGTATTTTACAACATTATGTTTTCACCAAGAAACAGAAACACATTCTTTCAACATTTGAAAATTTGGTGGTCAAGTCTGAGAACCTCCTCATGGTGACC